GCTTTAGATTCTACACAGGTTGTTTTTATTTACAATGAAAAACCTTCGGTTTCGTTTACATGAAGAGAGTGTGCCAGGAGGAAGATGTGCCAGGAAGAAATCGCCTGAAGTCCATGACTTTAAACGTGGCAAGGCTCATGGAGAAATCAGGCACGATGAAAAGGAAGATACTTTTCCCCTAAGGATGCTCCTTCGAAGGTTTTTAGCTTTCCTTCATGATTTTTCACAGGAAAAGAGAATGTAAATGGGTGAACAATAATGAATTCATATGGGTAGATAACCAAGGCCCCGTGTATTTCCAGCTCCTCTGTACAACAGGAGGAGAACACTGAGGTCTGTGAGTCCCTGCACGTCTCTGAGTGAATAATGTACCATCCCATGGGGGCACCGACTGTTAAAATTGTTTTGTACTTTCATGCTTTAGCTGCTATATACATAGCATCCTGGATGATTCAACCTGCTTAACCTCCAGCTTTGTCATATCATATAAATAAATCAACATTTCTGTTATGAGACTCCCTGGTCAGAAACAGATTTTCACACCTGATGGAGGATGACAATATAACCACTATTGCAATAAATACCATATACCTGCCTATAGGTCATATAGTAAATGTACTGTGTGTTATAAATATTAGAGATACAGAACACTTTGCAAATATGTAACACATGCAAATACGTAACACTCCCTAGGGAAAATGCAAGAGTTTCAGAATCCGTTCTGTACATAGAAAGGAAGAAAATAAAGATTAAGGAGAAAGCAGAAAACAAAGACAAAGAAACCCAACATCAGAAGGAAAAGTTTAATACACAAAATCATTCAACTTGGTTATTAAATTATTAACTTGAAATTTTATGTTTATTGTGCTTTTCACTCAGATTTTTGAGGTTGTTTCCTTCAGCTGTGTTTTTTTATTGTTTTGTGTGTTTAGCATTCCTTAAATATTTATGCTATTATGTTTTGTTTGCTTCGCTTTCCTTAAATATTTATGCTATTATGCTGTACTGGCATAAACATTTGTTTTATTTAAATCTATTTAACTGAAAGATAAATAGCAAAATAAGAAATCAGAAATTACACTGAAATTTCAGAGGAAGAACAGCAATTAACTCTGCCAAGGTGTTAACCTTTTTAAAATTACGTGATTTGCCTGTATGCCGCATTTGATGGGCTATGCACCAACGCATACGAGCTGTTTAAACACCACTTTCTTTGTCCAAATTTGACGCTCCCCTTCCTCCCCTTCCCCTCCCCAGCACACATCAGGCTGCTGCTGTGCACGGGTGAAGCTGTGGGCACCGCTGGGCTCCACAGGCTCCTTTAACGCCTCTGACTGGGCCAAGCATAGCATTTACTCATACTTTGCTCATGGCCTTTATTCCAAGACTTTATTTTATCACACCTACCGAAGCATTTCTAATAGCCATACCTACACAGGAGACATTCACAAAGATACACACAGTTAATAAAATATACAAGGCTTAAATGAACTCCATGGGACTGGATAAGTAAAATGGATCCTGCCATTAATTATTCATTAAGAACACTCTGTAACTGCATTAGTTCAGTGTCTCACAGTCCTTGCTTGCACACGATCATCGCCACCTGCTCCAGCTGTTTCCGCAGCCACCGCTGAGCCCAGCCCAGCTGAAGGATTGAGCCACCTCCTCCATCACGCCCTGCGCTGTGCCCCTCTAAAGCTGGTTTCCTAGAGAAGTGATTGATGTCCTGTGCCTGGAAGTGTGCAGGTGGCATTTGGATAACTCTGTCATTACTATGCTTTAACTTTTGGGTAGCCCTGAAATGGTCAGGCAGTGGGACTGGGTGAGCTTTGTAGGTCCCTTCTGAAGTACTCCACTCCACTCCACACCATTCCATTCTGTCCCCTTCCATTCCATATTTGTGCTCATGAAACCTCACCAGCTGAAGATAAAAGGCCCTAGATGGCTACAGGTTTAGTGTTTTAAATCTGCCAAGGTTCCTCCCTTGTCTAAAGCAAATAAAAATGACATACAGGTAACTTACTCTATGTTCTCTTTATCTTTCTATTAAATAATGAAAGGCTTATTGGTCTACACCCAGCAGTTCACAGTAAGAAATCTGGTTCTGAGACTATTTTCTGTCAAATTAAGTCAGCACGGAGTTCAGCTGACAAACTGGTACTTACTCTGCTCTGTGTTTGCTGTCCCTTGCATATTTAAATGAGGAAGAAGTAACATTTTTATTCCTGACACCTGTCATAGAGTTTAAGCACTATAATTATTTCTCTTTAACATCAGGTGTTACACACATTATATGCAATTTTGTAGGCTCGGTTATCACCGCAGTCTGCAGCATAGAAGTGTGTCTGCAATGTCAAAATCGAATAAAAAACCACCACATACTTCTTCCACAGAGCTCGAGATGAATTAGCATGGAAATGACATACCTCCAAATATATATATATATATATATCTGATATATATCACGTATTTTTCTCAAATTGAGGTCGAGCAAATCTCTCAAGATTTTTCTCTAAATCAATGAACAATAAAGTGTTCTCCCTAAGTAGATACACGGTGTTTTTATGACACTGATGTCACAAAACTAAAAAGAGTGGCATGTCACAGTAAAGTATTGGTTAGTCTTAACAGCTCTACGAAAACTTAAGAGCAAGGCTTTAGTAACACAGACACATCTTCTGCACCACTTTCTGGAGCCAAATCTCCAAGAGCAGAATATGTGAGACACTGGCCCTGCACAAAGCCTACACCAGTTCCTTTAGCTACTCGTGTGGCTTTAGAAATATCTTTTCCATCAGAAATCCCATTAAAATAGAGCCCGCTAGCAGGTCACATCGTGGAGTAGAGAGGAAGCTGGAGCTACTTGTCCAGCAGCCTGGTCCCTTCTGCATTTCTCCAGGAGATGCTGCTGGCACACGAGCTGCAGCCCCCAGCAGCATTTCGTTGTCTGCCAAGACGTGCAGCAAAGGTTGCATCTCTCGCCTGTGCTCCATCTCCTAAACCCCGCAGTGAAAAGATCTGAGATTCAGTGGAAAAACTGAATTCCTTGGCAATTTCTAACATGTAATTAATGCACAACCTGCTGCTTTTAGACAGGAATGCTTAAAAACACTTCTGGGCCTCAAGCTTCAAATACAAATTAGCAGGTGGGCTGTTAATGCATTTTTTCCCTTTTGCCACAATGATGGATTTTTCATTTTAAAGATGAGACGTTGCATGATAGAGACAAATATTGACAGAGGAGATAAAAAGGGTTGTTATGATAATAGGCATAGCAAAATGTTGTTTATAAAACTATAGCTGGGAACAGAAATCTTTCCCTGCTGTGGAATATTGATCCCCTCAACATAAAGAAAATTAGCTTCCTTCTGTCTGCTATAGCTACACCTACGTTTTATACCTGCAGTACAAAGAGCTAACTTTTAAAAGGTCTCAAAGTTTCTTGTTGCCTGATTCTTCAATGAAACCAATGCCATCAATCCCGGACTGCGTGGCTGAGGTAAGGGTTCAAATTCAGAAATGACCTGGTGCACACCTAGGGACAAATTCTGTCCCCAGGCACACACCAGCCTGATGCAGCTCACTCCCACCTCAGGCCGCCAGGACTTCTACCGAGCCTTGTGCTCCATTATTCAGCACTCACCAGCACAGCTATAACTCCCATGAACAAGCTACTTTTCCACTTAGTCTCTAATTAGTTGTTTACCCCAAGCCAGCTTGGAGATAGTTCTATCTCAAACCCCTGATATTTCAGGTGTGTGGTGCAGCAGACCCTGGTCTGGTCCCTTTTTTCTGTTCCTGCTCACTGCTCTCTGCTTGCATTTCCCACGACTGCGCCAAGACACCAGTGCCACAAAGCACTGGCAGGCAGAGGCACCTGCAGGTCTCTCCCTTGAGCTCTGCTCACCGTTTTGCCTATCCCCAGCCATGTGCAGAAACACAAGGTGCACCCGCACGGCTCGCTGCCCGCAGCCCTGCACCCTGCTCAGCGCCGTGGCGGAGGAAGCTCCGTGATCGCAGAGCTCCCTGGAGCTTTCCTCTGTAATCCATCACCGAAATGAAACTATATCAGTTACCATAGAAACTTCTTGACCAATAGTCTGAAAATATTTTTGCAGAAAGTAAGATAAAGTTCCATTCAAGCAAAGACCTGCAACTCCTGTGCTGTGTTGGAGAAGCTGATACCCTGCTCGCTCACGCACTCAGCAGACGACAACCTTTCCAATTTCCCTCTAGCGTACTGGTAGTACAAGTTATTTCTCCCACCACATCCTTTTTTCATTATGAACAATCTGCTGAGTAACACTGAGCTGTAGAGAAAAAAAAAAGTAATGAATGTCCCCAGGTTGAAACTACCCGCTAATATATTTGTTTAGGGCTCTCAATTTTTATTCAAAAATCGTTTGACATTGGTTTCCACTCATATTTTATAATGAGGAAAGTGAGCGACTTCAGCTGCAGCTCCTGAGCAGCCCCTGGGAAGCGTCCGCCCGGCCACGAGCCATGAGCTGTGCAGCACCTCCATGAGGAAGCCTGGTACTGCAAGGCATGGTATTTGCTGTTTATGTAAACTGGTGTCATCTTGGGTGTCTGAGCATCCACACCTGCTGCACACATGAAGAGGAGACTAGACATTTCCTTGCCAGCCTTTGGAGATCAAACTGCATCTATACCAAGCCACTTTCTTAACCTCGCCGGATAAGACAGCAGCGTGATTCCTCAGTTTGTGGCATTAAAGTTTCATTGCAGCCGCATGTTTATTGAATCTTTAGATCTTTAGTCTCAGCAAACACTCAGACGAGCTTTTCCCACCCCCGAGAGCAGATTTCCCTGTTGGAGAAACAGAGCTGATGCAGCACCGCACAGCTGACTGGGTCATTGCTCACATCCATACAGGATGGTTTTTATCTCTGTACAATTGTTGAGATTTATGGTGTAATTTTATACATAAATTTTCCTTGTTCAACAAATCAAGAAGGCGACCATATGTTATTACATGAGGCTGAATTTTTACACAGCTGTATTTTTTTAATTTCTGAGAAAGTACAAAACTTCTGCTTTCAATCCAAACAAAGCCTGTTATGAACATTTATTTTATTTTTTTTGCATAGAGTCTGTTTCAATAGTTTGTTTAAAATTAAAACCTAAAGTAGTAATCGTAATAGGCCTGATTTATTATTAATCATGGGTGAAGACAAATGCTTTTAATCATATTATGCCTACAAAGAAACCAGTTCCCACTTGTATCTTTAACTGTTCATGCTGCTTCCTGGGCATTTTAATCTTCTATACCCAGGGGCCAAAATTATGGCAATACTGGTAAATAATGAATAGAGATTAGTATTCAAACAACCACTTAATTAATCAGAAAACAAGGATAACTAAGCACTAAAAGTGCCCGAGATGCTCCAGCTCTGTGCACAGTGATGGCTCCATGTTAATGTGTTTACTTGTGGGACTGTGAACACCAAGTAGCCTTTTCTGAGAGCATACATGAAAGCTCCCATTGATTTTTTTTCAATGTTTGCAATGTAGTAAAAACCCAGAGGCCATTAAAAATCTGTGAAATAACTGCTTGTAGTTTCTCGGGTTTGGGTATAGGGTGGAAGAGATAATATGCGGTCACTGATAAAGACCGTGATCCTTCATGCATCTAATGCAATTTCACAGTGAAACATTTTGCCATTGGTGAAATCATTCTCTGACACCAGATTATTCTGGTCACTCAAAGATTTATTAGGGGGTAGCTAAGTTTTAGGTTGATTCGCATAAAGTGGTAATTTCACTGGACATGGACTGAATACGGACCTTGTGGCGATGCCAAAGGACTTTATCTCATGGATGAGTTGCAGCCCTCAGGCTGCAGCACACACAGCTTCTAAAAGCAAGGATCAAGACGCACACTTGCTGGCAGCATATGAGGAGCTGACCCTTATCTGACAGCTTTTGATCTACAGCAATGGACTGGATAATTACAATTATCCCTAGAGTTACCTACAGCACAGGAGAGCAGTATAACGATCTCCTGCAGGGCTGTAACCTCCGGCAGCTTCCCGACGTGCAGGCTGCGTGACACAGGGGCTGGCTCCTCTCTACCTGCACGGCCAGGCACCAGTCACCACCACGTTCTCACCAGTAGGGATTTCCACCAGTCTTAATGATCATGCCATTTCTTTTCCATCCCCTGTGAAATGAAGAATTTTCAAGCCAAAGTACGCACATTCAGGTGCATCAATAAATATGTGCATACAAATAATATGAGGAGTACGACAATAGGATGAAGTTCAGATGGTGAAGATGCTGTCTGGAATGAAACACGATGTAGAGACATGTAATACTTTTCCACTAGGGCTGACCACTGTAAATAGAGTAAATTGCGTCAAGATTAAACTCAGAAGAAAAACAAATGTGTCTGCGGTGTGAAATTCAACTCAGTTTTACCTATAGAGTCGCAACTCTCACCTCTATCAAAACAATAAGAATTTTGTTACAGGCACTGCAACCTCTGAAATTGTATTTTCACTTATTCATTCCCGCTGCTCACAACGACAACAATAGGGAAAAAAGTTGTTTTCGTATACATTTCAGTTACTTTTGTCTCTCACGTATTTGGAAACTGTTAAAATAGAGTAAAATGACAGGAACAGCAACAAGGAACTGGATCAATACTCACTTTTGAGATTACTGCTGCAATAATCTCCCGGCGGTTTACTCCGTCCTGCCAGCCTCTCTCGTAGCCACTGCAGGATCCCAGGGCAGGGGCTCTGCACGCTGCCTGCAGCCGGGGGCACAACGGGGCTGCAGTGAGGTGGCAGCAGGACGAGGGCAGCAGGAGCAGGGCCAGTGCAGGGTGCTCTGCCCCGACCATGCCGAGCCCCATCGCCACCTTCAGCAGCTCCTGCTGGTGCTGGCTGCTGGTGCCGTGTCAGGCTTGTAAGGGGCAGAGCAACGCTGCCTGGTCTCAGAGCTTTGATGAAGCAGCTCTGCCTTCTGTAAAGCTTTGACAATGGCTAAGAGAGAAACACAAGCCAGAGAGTGTAATACCTGCTGGTAGATATTTCCAGACTAAAAAGCGGTGCAAAGTGTAAAATGGCTGGGAACGACTGGGAATCGCTTACTCACCCAACATGGTAACAGTGGTAAAGGTGATGCTTTTTGCATGACCAAAAAGGAGCTCCCCTTCTTCCAAGTGAGTAGCAGCAGCCATACTTACGGAGATTTGGGAATGCTGGCAAAGTGCTCTCAACCAAGGCACAGCCTGTTATTACAGGTGCCTCCTTACGTTGGTGAGCAACGTTTCAAAACACGGATCTCCTGTTGAAGACCTCCAGGACAACAGCTTTGTGGAACTGAGCTGCAGGAGTGAAAGGCAGCACCTGTGCACAACATTCACTGCAGATCCTCATGCTGTCTGCTTGCATTTGGTGAACACTGTAGCTGAAACAATGGTGAGGAGTAATGAGAATAGGGGAGGGAGAGGAAACTGCTCAAGGTGATCGGCTTAAATTAGCAGAAACCTCAGTCTGCAAGGTACTAACTTCTTCAGCCTGCTCCAAAGATTTAAAATCAGGAACGAGAAGAATAAGACTAAATTCTGGGAAGAGACTCATCAGATCCACAAAACAGGGAAACAGGGATGTGCTTACCTGAACCAAGGCTTTATGGTTTAAAAGTGAAGAGTTGGTCAAAAACCAATCCACTTATAACTGAGAGCTCCAGTATAAATATGAAGTAATACAGGTTTGTCATTTTTTTCTATAAATGCATTCTCCCACCGAAAGAAAGAAAAGAAAGAAAAAGAAAGAAAGAAAGAAAGAAAGAAAGAAAGAAAGAAAGAAAGAAAGAAAGAAAGAAACAAAGAAAGAAAGAAACAAAGAAAGAAAGAAGGAAGGAATAAGCAGTTATGAGTTATGAACACAGTTGTATCATCATAGTCACTCTCCTTAAGCATTCGCCAGGTGTAAATCTCATAGTTCTCCAAACTGTCAGATTTAAGCATATTTTGCCTCTCCTGCCATCTGCACATCTGCCATTTCCAACACATACAATGTTTAGCTATCCAATTTATTGTTCTCATCTGCTTGGGGCTTTTAAGTGTCTGTTTAAGTTTGGGTCAGAAGTTCCCGTTTTGGTATGGATGTGATTCATGCAGAGATAACAGATTTAGAAAAGTCAATACGAAACCCAGTGAATATGCCCCATAAACTGTGAGCTAAGTTTCCCTAGGGAGTGTTTTGCTTACTCAATAGTAACTGGGATATGTATCAGCCTATTCTCCAGCGATGGTTAATGCTGACTCTCAGTGAAGGCAATGAATACCGCTATGGCATGTAACTGACTCAGGGAAAAAAAAAAAAAAAAAAGAAAAAAAAAAAGAAAAGAAAAGAAAAAAAAAAAGAAGCTGCTGCTTCTGCTGGGAATACAAAGCAGATGGTAATTACGCCTGTTGCTGCCACGCCGGAGCAAAAATCCCTTTCACTGAACTGGTGCTGTCAGCTACAAAAGATAAATAGCTGTACACATTCTTGAAAGGACAGAGTTAATACCCTTTGGATTTAAATTGGTCTCTTTTTCATGAATATGTGTCCTATTTGCTGCTCAACTCACAGTATTAATACAGTGAATTATTTTAATTTCTGCAGAGTTGTTTACTTGTCCATTAAGTGAGACATTATGGCTATTACTGGATTGTTGCTGCATTGAAAATTCACTTCTACCAAGTTGCATTAAGCCTGCTCTGCTGTGAACCACATTTTCCCAATACTGAGAGTTTCTTCTATAATACTTTAAAAAGCAGGATTAAGTGCATCCTGCAGCTGCATTTATTTACAAATAAACAATAAATGTACAACTATCAGGAAGCCTCGAGACCCCAAAGCAAGCCTTGCACTGATATGCACAGGAAATACCGTAAGGTCTGGTTTTGTTTTCATCAAATATTCAGCAGCCTATGAAAATTTAAAATGGGAAAATGACTGAGGGGATGCTTTTCCTGAGTGCAATATGAAAAGGCAAGCCTTGAATCCTGCGCTGTGCCCGCCATCTGTGCACAAGCCTTGCCGGGGGGGCACCGTCCGCCCGGGAGCAGCCCCAGGGTTCCTGCAGACAGGGGACGCTGCTTGTGGTCACCTCTTGCCAGCCACCAACTGCCACCAAAAAGAATTTCAGGTTGTGTTTATCACTCTCCTGCTACTATGTCATGGTGTAAAACTATGTTTCAGTTGCTTCCAAAATGTTATCCACGAGATATTTACAAGGACGTATCTTCTGTTACTAGTGGGAGATGACGTGGAAGAAAATTGTTTTACTGATATAAGGTCTGATATAAATTAAAACCTGGCTATTTCTTAACTTGGAGAGCAGATATATAAAATTAGCATGCAACCAAGGTTTATCTCTACTTTCTGTACCTGATTCTGGGCTCTGCAGATCCCCTGCTCACTGAGCCCAAGACCACGAGCATCACCAGCCATCTTCCTACTGCCTCGGCTCCCAGGCTTTCCTCTGCACAGGGAAACAAAACAGCATCAGGTGAGAACCCCTCCAGGTGCACAGCAAAGTTCTTATCACTGGGCATCCCTCCTTACGATGTCCCAGCAACACTGCTCCTGTCCTGGTACAGGCAGGGCACCCTCCCTGTCCCTGTCCTTGTCCCCACACCGGGGTGCTCGGTGGTGTTTCAGCACTCAGGGATGGACGCGGGCGCAGCCGTCCTCACAGCACATGAAACGACAGCAAATTGCAGCAATTTGCTTTGGCAAAACAATTTTGAACATTTATCCCAGAATTGCTCTTAGCTGTCAGCTACCAAGTTGACAAACTAACTGCAGAATACATGTGAAAACCACGGATGTTTAAGACAGCGTATATTTTTATTACACATATAGATTGTCCACGTCTCAAAAAATATGTCTACATGGCCACAATTTTTTGCGTAAGGACAGTGAACAAATGTCAAAGCAGCCATCAAGCACAGAACCAGTAAACTGAGTAAAATGGTCCATTCTTTCCTGATTTGTTGCTTCCCACAGTGCTCTGTGGGTGGTTTTGCTGTCTGCAGTGCAAAGCATGGGCTGTGCTTCAGCACGAGAGGGTTCCCATCATTTCCCTCAATAGTATGAACATTATTGAGTTCGCATTTTCTTTCTACATCTTGCCTGTTTAAAACATGAAAATAATCAAGAGAAACTTTCTAGCATTAATGCCTGACTTTATTCTTCTTGCTGGTAGACCAAGCAGAAGCTTTAAGCTGCCTGGTGTGGGTTCTCAGTGCTGCTGTGCAGTGCAGCTCCACACACAGCAGCAATGCCACATGGAGTTAACATCCCCCTGTGTCCAACACAGGCTGAAAGACAATTCACTCCCATCAAGGCAGGGGGTAAAACCCGGCTTTTGGTCTGGACATCCTCATACCCAGTTGTAGCTCAAGGTTACGGGTATAAACCTGGAGCAGCTCTGCAATGGATTACAGATTAATCCTGAGTTGACGACAGTGCAAACAGAAGTTCTGGCAGAAAGCAGTGTCACTCGGTAAGAACACAGTCCAACACATCTGTATTTGTGAGCCCGGCTATCACAGATGCAAGTTACATCTCAAAGAAACAGAAAAAGAGTAAAGAGGAAGGGAAAACTCCCTCTGGATATTCTCCTAATTTACCTTGTGCGTTTGCCTGGTAGCAGACTGACAGCTTTGCCTTCACTTATTTGGTGGCTGCAGTACTGGGATCTGTCACCCTGCTAGGGCACGGTGATTTCCAAGGGATTTCCAAGCAGAAAGTGAGGCTGCACAACACAGCACCCCACTCCCGAAGGGCCTGCAGATTGGGGTGACAGCTGCCTTATACAAGGGCATGTGAAAGGACTGCTGCTAAGTAAATTCATTTTTAGAATGCATTATAGCTCATACCTGCCTCTCACATAGCACAAGACTGGAAAGAAAAAAAAAAAAAAAAAAAAAAAAAAAAAAAAAAACACACACACAACAAGTTTGTGAAAAGAAATCATGGCCTGGGAATTTGGAACAGGCACTGATGGAGAACACTGATATGCAATGGCTGCAAGATGCCCTGATGGCATTTACAGCAAGCCTTGCCTGTAGCAGCACCATGGAAGAGGAGCTAACTACCGACAATGGATGCTCCCCAAGTATGATGGCACAAACGAGTTCAACTGAGGAACAAACATACATGGAAGATAAATAATTTTAAATGCTATGTCGATCTCTGAAGCTGTAAACAGATGACACCAGTTCTCCAGGGGGTTGCTGAATCTTTCCTTACAGATACAAAATAGAAACTACATCTCTAAGATTACGCTCCGCCTGAGAGCAGGCAATTAAAACCAGGCCACAGTGTTTGATTTTCAATATCTCATTTAAATCTCGTAACAAAGTTCAATTAATGGTCTTGGAAAAGTTTTATAAAATTTAATGCTGCTTCACTGCAATACTTTTTATGACTTTTTCTGCTGCAGAGCTTTTCTTCTTCCTTTTGAAATCAGGCAATATTATGGAAATATTATCTTTGTAAATGCGGGTGAAGTTGATGATGTTATTGATTTCAGATAGCCTTCAAGTTTGAGACAAATTTCCACATCAGGCTAGAGGTACTGAGCAAAGATTTCCAATGTCCTACATTATTTAGAATAGTCATTCCTAAATTGAAGGGTGAGAAATGTCTTGGGGAGGAACGGGGTGGTGGCACCTCGGAGCTGAGCGATGAGGGGGAGAAAAGAGCAGGGGCTGAGCAGCCCTGAGGAACTCCAGAATGAACAAGCTTGGGTTGTGCTCCAGCCCCAGCAAACATCCCTGCCCCTTCCTCAGAATGGCCCAGAACGAGCACCATTGGCCTCAAGACCTGATTCTGTTAAGCTGTTCCTAAAGTGAGGCAGCCTGCACACACCAAGTCCTAGGCTACTTCCTAACAATCAAAGGCATCTCTAAAGTCAAGAACAAATGAGAAAGGTGCTTTTTCTGCTATCACCACTTAACACTGTTACAGCTCATTGTCAAGGCCAACCTCCCCCACCAAGACGGGCTCCAGAAACTTCAGCCAGTGCAACCAAACGACAGGACAACCTAAGCAAATCTAAGCTGTACTGCACCTACACGGACAGAAATTAAACTGTTATTCTTGCTGTGGATGTGCGAGACCATACTCACTTTGGAAAAAAAAAAAAAAAATCTATCATTTTATTTTGGGCTCTACTTTCAGAATTACGCAGCACCAGGCTTTTTTATGCTGTACCTCCATTATGTGGAAATCAGGAATAACATTTCTCTCTCCAGGACTCCACATTTACCCTGTGAATGTTTCACTGAGAATATGACATGATTTAGACACCAGTGCTTTTAAAAAAGTACCCTATTTCAGGAACAAATCCACCTGTGAAAGTGGCTGCGGGGGGCCAGCACCGTGATGCGGCCGTGAGCCAGCCAGCAGCTGAAGCCCTAAAGCTCATTGCAACTTCTTCCACTGCTCCTGGACCCTGGCAAATGAAACGGTGCCGAGGCCTGAGCCACATGGCTGGGGATGCTGGAGCTTATCAGGAGGCTCACGAAGCTCTGCAGCCTCCCTGCCAGCTGGGGACAGCCCAGGACAAGGAGAGCCCACCTCTCACTGCGCATTCCTGTGGGCACCATAAAGCTGATCTTGTAAAATTATTCTTGTAAAATTATTCTTGTAATATTACACAGCCTAAGGAAAATATAACCCAAGTAAGCGTTAACAAATTCCATCACAAATTATTACGCAGATTAGTGTTGCAGGCCAGTTTATAAAAGACTATTTGACATCTGATCTGTTGTCCACAGATATCCAATCTGCAGCTCAAGACCCCAGAGAGTGTCATGAAATGCTCTTATCAGTGAGTGCCTTTTAATCAGTGCTCTTATCAGTGGGCGCCTACTCCTGACAGAAGCACCTAAGTTCAGCATGGTTTTGCTTTTTTTTTTTTTTTTTTCTTCCCCTTCTTTGGTTAGTAAGCGAGAAGGCAACTCTCATACACTAGGTATAGCTTTAGCCAAGTTTAAAGCAAACACAGGGCCTCCAAGCTCAAATTGCTCTAATAATTTATTCTGGTCTTGAAATCCCTAAGGTTATTTCAGAGAAAATGTATTTTAAGATGTTTGGCTCAAAAATGACAAGATAACAGATGATACATATTCATTTTCTCCCCCAAGATGGTGATGAGATGTAACAAAATAAAGCAGTAGTCTTGGTAGCTACTCCCTCCCCCAAATGTAAGTCTTGTAGTTTTATCTCCCTGATACCACCAGAATCGTATTGCCATTTATCTTGAGGGTGTATTTATGAAAGGGATTGTTTGCAAGTGAAGCTACAAGGCATGAAACAAACTGATAATGGAACTTTCTTTTGGAGCTTATTCTTTTTTGGTGGCATTTTTCTTTCTTTCCTTTATGAGCTTCGTGACAGCCAAGCAGTCATTTCCTTTCTGTATTTTAGCACAAACAACAGATTAGTGTCACATTGTTTGCTGTGAGGTTTTGCTTTCTGCTTGCAGGGGGACTAGTTGGCATTTGGCATGTTCCAAACAAATAATGTGGTCATTCATAAAGATAAAAGACTGAAACATCTTCTTGGCATACAAGATGCATTACTAGCACGTATCCTGAATGTGGTGTGGAACAACAGAGGCAGAGGTGAATAATGTAATTTGAAACTTGAATCACAAAACACAGAGGCCAGGGTTTTGTCTTCTGCAAGAGACATAACACAGCCTTTGGCACTGCAAACATGATAATCTACTGCAGCCGCATGCTCAAGAAAAATGAAATTTAAATTATCAGCATAAATCACAAATAATAAATTATTTATTTTTAGAGCAAGAATTCAGAATATAACCTCATAGAAAAAATGTCTTTAAAACATTCCTTCTTAACACCATAATTTCTACAGTTTTTTAATATTCTTAGAAATATTTGCAATACTATGAACCATGAAGGAAACATATTGCATGGTGGTCCTCCCCTTTTCTCTCTTACACATGTCTTTAAGGTAAAACTTTCTGTCCTTGCTGCCCTCTTCCATCACCTAAACGCCATCTTAACAAGTATTTATTTTATTTCCCCCCATGCCTTCAAAGCCAATGCATCTCAGACAATTTTTGTTTTCCGCAGCTTGCTCAGCCTGCTTTGCTAGGCTTTGCATTCTGCTTGCACCCTCACCACGAACCAGTAGTTCTCTTACAAACACCTTCCTTAATTCCTGTTGCTGAGGCTTCCCCAGACCAGACTCAGCTCCCAGCCACCGGTGCCTGGCTGGCCCTGTCCCACGGGGACAGAGGACTCTGTAAACGCTGTCTAAACCAGGCACAGACCACCGAGCATATAAGGACGCTGCTGTTGTAAAGGATAAGTGTTGGCTGAAAACGTCATGTTTTAAACCAAATCCTGAGAATATAACATTTTAGCAATAACTTACATTGATGACACGTTATTTCCTAGAGTTTTGTGAGCACACTGCCAATTGAGTAGCTTTGTGGGGTCAGTGAAGTGAGCACACAACTGTTTGAGTGGTTAAATGCTACTTATTGCTAGCTAAGAGGCTTTGGCAACAGAGAAGGCAGCAAATAGAGAGGAAACAAGAGAAAACAAACAAGCAGAGAAAAGACAATTAATGACAGCATAAGGGAAAGGGCAGGAATATGCAGCTCAGGGCTGGACAAATTCAAGTGACGTGCTGGAAAGAACTCCCTTCATCAGTAGCATGAACTGAAAGTGTGGTTCCCTTGTTTAGAGCTCTTTCTTCTCTAAGGAACGAGTGGGGCAGGGGAGCGTGGACTGGGCAGCATCATCACAGACCCGACACCACGAGCAGGGCACAGGCTGCCCAGCTCCCTTCTGTGCACTGCTTTTAGCATACATTTGGTACGGAGCAAGGCATACCCACACAGAGGGAAATGCAGAGTTTCCAATGGTAACAACAAAACTGTATTAGAAAAAAAAACACTTTTTGGCCAGTGTATACTTTGCTTTGGTAAAAAAACCTCAGCTTTTAGGGACTCGGAGCCTTTCCTCGGTGCATTAGCGCTCAGTGGCTGTTAGCACTCGAAAGCAATACTTCCAATGCTACATCAAGTCATTCAAGTGGCAGGAAATTTGAGCAGTTGATTTGGGAAATGGATATTTCATTAGCAGCACAACTCATGATAAATGAAAGTTTTCCCAGCACCTGCACTGGGAATACCAATGAGCTCTCAATCAAACCGCCTGAGAAGAGGGGCAAAGCGATGGCCCTGCGATGCTGCCGCCTGCTAATGGGGAAAGGAGCGGAGGGCACCAGGAGGCAGTTAGGCTGTGTTCAGCTTTTATAACTTCTCCTTATTGAGGCCTTTAGGTCAATTTCGGCTGCACTCGAGGCCCTGACAAGAGCCAGAGCTCAGAGGCCGCTCAGCCCTCAGGCCCTGGCCGCAGCCCCCTGGGCACAGCAGATGGAGGCCAAGGTCCCAGCCCCGGCACAGAGCCACCTGCTGCCAGCAGGACAGGGCCACAATCACCTCCCATACACACCCAAAAGTCAGAAAAGCTGATGTAAAATGGGCAGTAAGGCAAACTGTCAGGGAAAAGAGCTGGTGCCATTAGAAGTAATTTAACGATTTGTTAAGAGCTCTGGGTACATATAGGCATCCAGAGTGAACAGCTCAGGAGGGGCCGATGAGCCACCCCAGCAGGCACCGGCCCCCAAAGATCTTCCCTGGGAAGCGCTCTGGGGCTGGAAGGCCCAGCCCTGGCAGCAGGGAAAGTACAGGAGAAAATTCTCTGCAGCAGGAGCACTCGCTCTGACCAGAGGTACCAAAACCTGTGCTGCAAGGTGAGCTGCATAGGGCCTAGCGAGAGTTTTTACGGGGCCTGCAGGAGCCCTGCCAGGTTTGGGTTCACATCCGGAGCCCCTTGAAGTGGAACACGTCACCACACAGAGCCGCCAACCTTCAGAAAATGGATCGAGCTCCAGACCGAAATCTTAGTATCTTCTGAGATACAGATTACAGAGTTGTGATCAATAGCCGTGCTATAATTGCAAATGTGTTCTTACAGTTGAGCGTGCTGTGTTCCTAATACCCAAGATACTTTGGTGGGTTTGATTGATATGGAATAAAAGTAAAGCCAATGAACCACCATCTGTATTTACTTGCTTGATGTATGTGTTTTTATTAAATTCCAAAACAACTCATGAAAAACAGTGTTTTGTGTTTCTTGCACACCAATACAACATATGCATGTGGTGATTTGAAAGAAAATAAAGGAAAAAAATATATCTTTTTAAAGACCACCACAAACAAATTATTCAAAGCAAACAGCACATTTTAAAACTAAATTACTAAAAATTCCCTTTAAAGTACAAAAATAAATTCAAAACAAAGATTCATCAATTTTCTTTGCATTAGAAGAAATAGCTGAAGTGGACTCTGCTTTCTGAAAATTGAAATAAAAATCCCAAAGTGGGGATCAAAAGCCTCACTCTATACCTTTGAAGCGAACGGGAACATTGCTAGTCATTTCAGTGGGCAGCAGAGCCGGACACTGCATTAGACAGACCACGTCTTGCACTCGTAGCCGAACATCGAAACAGCTGTGGGTTGGGGGACTTGGTGGGGTTGTTTCTGCAGCTGCTACCAGATAAGAATTCGGACGTTATGCGATGATTTAGCAATCCGGAGCCTTACCCAAGCTCCAGCAACATCAGCCGGGGTCCTTCCTGCAGCCCTGGTGGTTCCTTGCAGGAGACAAAGCCATTCTTCTGAAGCTGTCCCACTGCCATGCATTAGTAATCAGTTTCCTTGCTTTCCTCTGAAGTTCAGGGGATGAGGTCAGCCTTGCCACACGACTCCTCATGACCATGACCGGCAAAGGGGCACTTCAGATCTGACAGGCAGGTATTGCAGAAGGAAAAGAAGGTCTCAGCTGGCTGCCCTCAGGCTGCGTGCCAGCAGGACTGGCCTGCTGGCCTCCTGCCCCCTGCTCCTCTCAGGAATACCCCTGGAAATGCAATTTCTGAAGATGTCACGGTTTCAATCACAAGTGCTGCAGGCATACTGCTTTTGCTCAGGCCCAGAAACATCACTCAAAGCAGCTGAGAATTGGCTGTGGAGTGCAGGCATCCGCTGCCACCTCTGCTCCCTGCAGCGAGGAGCAGCAAGAAGTCTACATAAGCCTCTGATTCCCCCAAATGTCCATTAAATGCTATTTCAGTGACCACATTTTCTTTTGCAAAGGCACTCTGACTGTCCTGCTTCATCAGGCTCAGGTGCACGGCACAAAGCCCATGCTGCTCCCCCTCCCAGGGCCACGCATCCTCTAACGGCAGGGAGCTTCTGCACAGGAGGTCATGGGCTGCCTGGCAGCCCCACTGGGTGGGCAGTCAGAGCTAGCAATGGGTCTCAACCTGTAAAAAACACAGAACAAAACAATCCTAGCGTACTTCAGGAAGGAGTTTATATCGTGCGGGCAGTGAATGTGCTGTTTGCAATCCAGAAGTTGCTATGGCAACTTGGCAAGAACCTTTAAAAATTACACAGCAAACAGTCAAAGAAAACCTAAACGTATACAAGAGGAGTCCCTAAGCACATCTAAATTAAGTAGTGGCCAAATGAGTTCTTTTTTTCTTCTCTGTCCTCCTAGAGAACGTTGCCTTACCAGCCTTTTCTTTGCTGCTGCTTATTTTTAATTTACACACTATCTGTCTCTTGACCATCAATTTCCTACACAACAATACAAGCGTGAGCTCTGTCCACAGATGCCCCTCACCTGTTCCTTGAGGCTGGCTCTTCACCATCCTGGCAAGTAGGTTTATGCACTTTTTTTTTTTAAAAGGTCTCCTAATTACCCAGAGAGCCAACATTTTATTTTCTAATATGGTGGACAGTTATGCCTATATTACTTTTAAAATATGCGGGCTTCCATGGCAGGAGTCGACCTGGGAGGGCTTTTTTCAAATGCTGTTGTCGCAGGCTGATGAGCTGACCCCTTGTGCTGAGCTGTTACATCTCCCTGGCACTTACAAAGGAGACAAGATGAGGTTGCATGTGTGTCTCAGCTGAAGTTAAATTCTGAAACGCGCTAGCACATGTAAAATTCAAGGTTAATGAAAGGTTTATCTTGCCCATAGGACTGCTCATCAGAAGGAAGGGTAGCTCATGCAATTACACTGTGATGAGATATTGATTTTTTTTTATTATGATTTCCAATGTTATTTCAATACAGGACAAACCAAAAACAGCCCTGAAAAGCAAAGGCAGCGTATGGGCTACAGCCAAGCATCCTAATAGCTGTGAAGTCCACAGGCTCAGAGCATATTGTTTAGGATAATTATGTTAAGACACGAAGTCAAGATTGTTTTATGGCGAGAGATGCAGTGGGTCACCCTCCAGCACCGTGCTGTGCAGTTACTATATTAATTTTGACCACCACTTCTGCTGAACACCTTCGTGATACTTACTTGTAAACGTGTATTAAACACATCGCATCCACCGGAACGGCACAAGCTTACTGACCAGCACTGGTCCAGGCACCCAGCTGGGATCACCTGGCACAGAGATAAAGCCCGAGTCCCCCAGCAGCTCCAGGCCACAGCTCTGGACACCCCCAGCGGGCAGGGGACTGGGCAGGCATGGGGACAGCCAGCCCTGCAGGGCCACCAGCTGCTTGTCACCACACGGCGCTGGGTCACACTGGGCTCTATTGCCAGCAGAGCTCATACATCTGCCTCCTTGATCACAGGATATCTTCTGCACAGAGCTCATCTTCTGCAATATATGAATGTTTTATAGCTACAAATTACAGACAAAAAACAACCACAGAGTAAAAAATTATTATTGGGGAATTAAAAAAAATCCAGTTGATTTCTGATCACTGTAAACAATGATCAGCATATGAGAATTACATTTTATTGAGCATATTCCTTCTATATTCCCACATCTAAGTTGGATTTAATCTTTTAATTGATCTATAGTGCATTTACATATAAATCTAGAAATTTGGGGTTGGGAAGACTGCTTTAAATGAGCAACAGAGGAGATGCACTCTGCAGCAAGTTAGGAAAAGGGGAAGTCGTAAAATTACTTTAAGTACACTTAAAGAAAAAGGAACAGGCTGCAGCGTTGACACTGGGTGCCAAACAGCTCCGTTTCGTGCCCGGCTGCCAGCAGCCTGCCCAGCACAGGACAGGGAAGTCACGGAGCCCCAGTGGATGCTGCACGCAGCCCTGCACCCAGGGCATCGCTATTTATGCCTAAATTAATCAGAGTTTTGTCTTAATTTTTGTTACTGCTTTACAACTCCAGGAGGAATCAAATTCTTAGTTAAGAAATATTTCCTGTTGAAAGATTATCCCTACAACTGCCTCCTCCTTATGCCTGCCCTGTGCATATCGCTGCTGAAATGAAATAAAACAACAGGGGGACACAGAGCAGCCACTAAGGCTTATAAAGATACTCCATGGCAAGATACACGATCCTTCCTTGGCCTAACGTACAATAAAGTTATGACACACTGCTGCTGAGTTGTGTCTGAGGAGGACACAGAGGCCATTTAGAAATGGCACAAGTGGCACCCCGAGTGCAACGGGATCAGAGGATAACGGTGGGGCTGCAGCAGAGCTGCTCCTTGTCGCTGTTACTGGACAGAGCACTTACATATCCAGCCAGACGTGCACAGAGAGAAAAGGCCAGGCACTCTTAGCAGCAGCTAGCAGTATCTGTGCCCAAACCCCCCAAAAACCCCAGGACCTGTCCCACCATCGTGCCTCGCTCCAGCACCGCTCCCAGGCGAGGCACTGCCCTCGCTCCCCACCTGCAGCTGGCAGGCACCTCCAGCACCGAGCCTGAAAAACACACGCATAGGTAGAGGAGAAGGTGGAGGGAGCTTCTTTCTGTTTCAAGGGCTGCCTTTGAAACAATCAAACACGCTTTCAAAAATCCAAGGGCTCTGTGTTCCTGAGGATCAGCCCCGACCCCAGCGCTCGCTCCTTCGGTTAGCGGCAACCATCAAAGGCTGAACCCTGCGCTGTGAAGCCTCTGGGGCTGCTCCTTTACTTTGTAGAGGTCATTTGTCTCATTATTTCCCTTCCGAAACTGCTCAACGAACCAACACCCACGCACTCTTTCATTTAGCACATTTAAATATTTATAATAATATTAAAATACTTGAACCGCTTTGAAAGAGGTTGTTGGAAAACCACGGGCTCGCCTCCCGCTCCTGTCCATTTCTCACCCCGCAGCCCCCGGGGCTCTGCAGCACCGACCCACCACGGCTGGGTGCTGATGTGCTGAGTGCTGGGGTCATGTCCTGTGTGCCTGGCGGGCATCCAGGGGCTGCAGGTCTGCTTACAAAACCTGTAAGTTGGCAGAAAGGCTGTGTGGGCTCCAAAACCAAAGGCAGTCCCTACCCCAGCCCGTGGGACATCACAGCCCCAGCAGCCCCTCCTTCCCCTGCTTTGGGTTCTGTGAAGAACCAAAATATTTTTTCGGTCTCAAGCACTTGCTACCTATGCTAACTAAATTACCTGGTACTGTAACAAAAATGTTTTATTCATAGCTTGTGCAATGCCTGGCACCTGCTTTTCTTTTGGTACATATTAAACACACATTTCATTTAACTTATTTGAAAGCACTAGAATATTTAGTAATTACCTGAAGTACTTAAGTGGTTTCCATGCTGTTAATATTTTCTTTTCGTTTGCTGTTGAAATAAAATGACCTGCCCACAGGGACCAGACACCTCCCAGTCCCCATGGCAAGAGCCAGCAGCACGAGGGATGCAGGACAGGACACGGGGCCTCGTGCCCGCTCCTTCACTGCCTTCTGTTGCTGTGATTCATTGCTTTTTATTTTATGGAAGGACAACTAAATCTAATCTATTACTGCTGCTTTTTTAAATAACTGCACGTCTCTTCTGGCAGTTTCATTACTTGCAGTGTTCGCTGGCATTAATTTTGTTAGGGTTTAAGAATTTAATGAGATATTAAAATGCTAAACGCTTTCCTCCGAGCTGATGACAAAAGAAAACGACCAGGCATGGTTTGGTGGGCTGCACAAGAACCCGAGGTAACTGCACAGGGTCACTGGGGGAGCCCAGCAGGAGCCCACGCCATGCACCAGCATGGCACAAATCCACCAAAGTCACAAATCCACCTCCTAGCAGCCACTTTCGACAGGGCCAGCAGGATATTTTTACAAATCTGTTTAATACAATTACACCAAAATAATTACACGAGATGGAAATGGATTCATCTAGCAGTACATCTGAGCTGGCTTTTTGTTTCCTCAGACCTCTCTAAGTGCATGTCCAGGTCTGCTCACAGAGTTATTTTCTACCTCTGCTTCAAAGCACTCTTACTGCTATGCCTTGGGAATGAGATATATTCAGTAGATGTGTTTTACAAAACCAATTTCTTCCTGAAGCAAAGATACCTGCTAAGAAAATAATCACCCATTATCAAGCCAGATAAAATTTCATGGAAAGATATATTCACAGTGTTGGGAAATTTGACTCATGTTCTCAAATATCATCATTTCCCTGCAATCACTGTCAAAACAGCTGTAACACTACTGTTATGGCAATCTTCACCAGGTAGTGGTTTTAGGCTTTCTCCCTCAGTGCTGAGTCTCTCGAAGGTAGGTTATCCAGGCTGGATCCAAAACATGGAGAGAGACCAGTATTTACCCTGAAAAATAACATGTGCCAGATTTCCCAGGGTAGATCATCACACAGTGGATACAACTTCCCGGCCGTTTGTGCAGCACCAGCTGCAGAACATCACTTGTCTCTGTTTAACCCAGTAACCTGAAGTTGGGCCACGTGCATGTGTTCCAGAACAGCATATATCCATGCTTAGAAAATGGAGAAATCCATAGGTTGGGCTTGGTATTTCATCCCAGTGACAAATCTCCTGTGCTGCTAAGCCATCTGGACAGCCTGCCACATGGAAGAGCTCTACCACAGGAGCTGTCCTCCCGTGAAACACCTTCCAAGTTCAGAAGCACGTCTTCACTGCTCCTTCCTTGACTGCTCTGTAATTAAGGAGAGGACCTTTACAGCTTTGGGATAAACCCATCTAACACCTCTGGTGCATGCTCCGTCTTCTGCACAAATTCAGGCTTGCCTGTGCAGGCTCTGCACGCTCCTGTTCACACAAATTGTACCTGTGCTGCCTGAAGACTTTTCCACGGGCTGCTCCCTCCACTTGAGGCACAGAGAAGAGCTGGAGATGTGCACGTCCCCAGGGGTGGCTGCACGCAGCCATCTGCTGTCTCCACGCAAGTCTCCTACTTCCATGTCACTGGCAGGAAAGGCAGAGCCGCCAGCCACTCCTGGGTCCTCACTCACAAGTAGTTCACAAGAGGGTTGTAGCATGAAATTAGCTGGGAATGATTTTTAAAGGCTGATTATAAATGAAGGGATATTGCTTATTTGGGAACTGAATGGGGTGACACACAGGTTATTTGTTTGGCTTCACAAGAGAGATGACAATACTTGCTTTTTCTGCTATCATTGAGTTCTTTGCCATTATTTACTGGTCTGAAATACTGAGATTTCACTACCACGTACATGCCTTCAAAGAAAAAAATCTCTTGCTTTTCTCTGTCTGAATCCAGCTAGTTCTATTGTACCAATTCTAACAAAGCACAGAGAGAGCCATTATAACCATTTTGATCAGATGAATGAATTCTACATGTTCTCACAAAGCTTAGAGTAAGGCTAAAACTCAGGTTAGTGACCAATTGCCTGAAACGTTTGTTTGTATGCTAAAAGATACGAACAGCTTGTTTCTGCTTCACAGATCAGAGCCTTCGCACATTTTAATGTGTCACTGTGGTTCTGTTTGTTGTTCCATAAAAGTTACTGCCTCAAAAAACAAAGACAACAATATTGAAATAGGAAGAAAAAACAGAAGAAAAATGGGAGGTTTCATTACTACAAAAGAGACCCAGCTGAGTTACTCAGGCTGCTTATCTGGTAATGAAAGGAAGGGGCAAATTTGTTATTTTCCAATAAAATCTGGAAAGCGCACTGCATAAATGAAATAAAAATTGAAGTTACTTACCGCTCGGCATCTTTGCAAGGGAGGAGCTGATGGGAAGGCACGGGCTGGGAGAGCCGGCACAGAACTGTGCCAGCTCCAGGTTCTGCAGGAATTCAGCTACTTACCGGCTGAGTTTCCACTCTTATTACCAGATGATTTACAGAAGAACCCACATTTTAATAAGGCCAATCTTTGACGCTGCTTACGGTTTGATGCCCACCTGGGAGCTGAGCAGCACCTGCCCAATGCCCACACATGGCAGGGCTCGTTAGGGGACTTGGGAGATGAGGCACGTGGAGCCATGCAGCCAACCTCTGCTGGGCAGGGAGAAACGTTGGCACTCTAACTGGAAGCAAAAGACACTGTGAAAACGAACTCTCTCGTTTTGTTTTCACCTCTCACTTTGAAATGAATATGAGAAAACCCCAGGAGTACAACTTGTTCCACCAGAAAGCACCAGGTATCCAACACACACAGCTCCACAATAACTCAAAAGTATAGGAAAAGCAGCGCAAGTTGACCTGGTCTAAATGTTTGAGCTAAAACATGAGTCTTTGTTCACGTTTGGGACTCATTGATCCAAGCAAAAGGCTGGCCAGGGCACCCCACAGCAGGCGCACTGGCAGGGTGCTCCCTCGTGGTGGGTTCGCGCACTCCCCATCCTACAAACCCGGGGAACAGCCGGGATTTCTGAGCTCTGCCTGCTCCCGGCTGACACCCAGCAGGCTCTCCCAGGAGCTTCATAAGCCTCAAGAGGCCTTAAATAATGATGACCTTTACTTATGAATCAACAGAAGTGAAGACAAAAAGCACTTCAGGCACTTGCTCTCCGGCAGAAGGGGATTCACAAATGTGGCCCAGTTCAGTTCAGTCGATTCTCAAAAGCCAAGAAATTCCTCACGCGTAACTGCGGGGCAGGGATCAATGCAGTGGTGCTGGACAAATGGCCCGCTTCACAGCCAAGACCTCCTTCATCTGGGAAGCATGATCGAAAGCAAAAGGCATCACACGGCTGCAAAGTTTGTTTGTGCACTGCCTAAAATAAAGTCAGAAAAAAGGTGATATTATGCTATTTCCTTGCTAAATGTCCAGCGCTGGCCTAGATCATGATAAAAATTCATCCAAAGTGTAGCTCAGGGTTCAAAGAGAAGCCTGGGACTGCAACACAGAAGAGCAGTGAGGCATGGATAAAGTATATTTTCTATTAACATTCTTCCCTCTGTATCTATGAATATTAGGTATATATTAGATGCTGCTAATATTCAACACCAACCACAAATGAAATCTATTTTTTAAAATCAGATTGTGACCATCTTTATAAGTCAGCCTGTCTCCTGTACAAAACATTTGAAATTCTTCCACCTCCCCATGCTTTATACTGACACTACTTTAGCAAATCGCTTACCACAGGATTTTGAGCTTGAAATTCATTTATAGGAATTCCCACCTCTGCCCTCCCCCCTTTGCCCTTTTTCAACCAGTTCAGAATTCGTTCCAAGCGGAAGGGACCCCACGGGAAATGCTGTGAATCGGACCGATTCCTACCAGGACATTCTCCAGCACACGAAGCATCCTTCCCGACCGGACGGGTGCACACAAGACTTTCTGCTGTCTGAGCAGACAAAGCCCACTGGCGGATTTACCCAGCCGTGGGACCAATGCCAGGCAGAGGCTGGCACTCAAAACAAACAAACAAAAAAAGAAAACAACACTCAAAACAAAACAAAAAACAGCTGTTTGGGTCTGAGCATAGCAAGATCTTTTAGCAATCACGACACAACCCTCAGTTACTGCTCACGCTGCATATTGTTGTAAACACCTCATTTCATTATGCACGAAGCAAAGAAAGATTAGCTCCTGAGGATACACCTAAAAGAACGGAGAATTAATTAAAATTTATTAAAACAAAACCCGCTAGAAGATCTTCAAAGCAACACAATAATTTTAAAACTCATAACAGAATTGCTTTGGGAACGAACGCCCTACGCAGATTAAGTGGAGTCTTTTACCATACTTGCAAATTTTAAGCCTGGGTGCCCTGGCAGCACCCAGAGCCACGCACACAGGTTTTGAGAGGTGGGAGCAGGGAGGCATTTGGCTGTCACTTCCAATCTGTTTGAACACTTGGAGGAAAAGTAGAAGATATTTGTATGGATGGAAACACCACAACACCAAAATATGTATTTAAATTATAACAATCAGGCCTAGAAAATGTGTACAGGTTTCAGAGCCTTTGTTATGTAGATGTTAGCTGTAATTAACCTCCAATTGAACATAACAAATGCAGGCATACACAAGAAAAATATTACTAAAAGCAAAGGCTTCGCAATGTATATTTTAATATATTGCAAGCAGATTTGACCACCAGATCAAGCTGCTACAGGTGCAGTGCATGAGGCTCGCCATGGAAAGGACAAGCACAGACAGATGGCAAACACAGCAATACCTGGTGTTTTTCTTAGTGCTCCCCCTTGTAGAGGCACGTCATATATTTAACTTCAACATTTCTGACACAAATAAATGTTTGTTCCTCAAGCTTTTAGAGACAAGCTTAGAAAGCTCACTTGGGTGCAGTCTAAAGGTTCAAAAAGAAAGAGATGGACATTAAAGAATCTCTCCAAAGACCTCCACACAGCAAGTGGAAGGACCGAGTTGTGCCAATCACTCCTCTCAAGATGCTGACCCATGAGGTTTCCAGCACAGGACCCCACACTCCGTGCTGTACCTGCCATTTCAGGACAATGCCTTGCACTTCATCAAGTCCTTTGATCTCAGGATCCCGTGCAGTTCATACTAACACCAGAGCAAGGTGGGCAATACAGGAAAACCCAACAACATTTTCCCAGGAAAGTAGCTTAAGAGATGGTTTGCTTACTCAGCTCTGGGAGGCCGCTGTTGCAGAGGGGGACAGGAGCAGCTCCGTTATGTGCCAAAGCTGCTCTCCAAGTTTCATGGCACTTCGGAGAGGAGAGGCAGAGCCAGGCAGCAGGGGAAGCTCCGGCAGCCAGCTGGACCTCGGCCAGCACACCCCGATTAACATCTCTAACACGGTGTGAGGAGTGCCAGGCGGTTTTTAATTACATGATGCAGGTGAGACCTTGTGTTCACACTGCTCCAGAGGAGGGCACCTCCAGCAGCAGCTCCTGCTCAGCATTGAGAAAAGGGAGCAGAAGGAATGTCGCTGAGTTATAACATTACCCACAGCACCCAACGTTAGCACTTACTGTCTGAACGAGGCTGTTTCTGATACCAAGCAACACGGCCATCAACAGGCTGAAGTATGCCAATCAAAATGAATAGAAAAGAGCATTTAACTGTTCACAACACAAAGGAAATACTTTAATCTTGACCCACACTGTGCCTGTCCATACCCCCGGACTCCAGTGAGCACCTCAGTCACAGGAGGGACGCGGTGAGCAAACAGCTGGGGAAACGAGACCACGGAGCTGCTGGTGTTGTCCTGACATTACTGCAGCACAAGGCACCTTCCCACCTTGCTTTCCTTCCTGTATCTATGTTTTATATTCAGCAATATTTACAAAGTCATGTAAAGCTGGAGCAGTGTTGGATTTTGATTGCAAGCTGTTTAAAAGCCAGCAGCCTTGTTTAGCAACTTGTCTGTAGAATGCCCACCGCGCCGCCAGAGCCACGCGAGCAATAACCCAACTGCTCTCAACACGTGTCTGCTCCAGGTCTATTACTTCCACGGGACATAGTTAGCGGGGTTATTATAACTCCTGCCACTAAGCAGACCGAGACCCGCATACACCTAAGATGTGTCAAGCATTATTGCAATAAGCAAAACTGGTTGTAGCAGGCAGCGATGCAGGCAGGAGGACACAGTGTTACTCCTGAGCATAATATTAGAAACCAGCGGAATATGAAAGCACAACCCCAGGAAACAATATGTCAGATTACCAGAATCACTATTTACTGGTATTGTACATCAAACAGTGAGCACCACTGATGGAAAAATTGTTTACTCTTTGCAGAGAGTTTGACTCCCTCAGAAAAAGGCAATAACAATTGCTTTTGTTCATACTACACTGGGGAGAGAGGGGGAGAGAGTGAGCGAGAAAATACAGAAGGGCTGGGACTAATAACACAGGAACTAATGGAAATAGCTGCCGAACCACTGAGAAGTTGTGGATATTTACTGTGCCTTCATCTCTCCCACTCATGATGTTTCCCTACCTATTACTTTGCTTTGCTAGGCTTCTTATGAGGCTACAAATAATCTCGTCTTATTTTCCTGTTCTACTCCATTTACTATTTTACTTTTTTGAGTGTTTCTTGTATAAGTTGGGGAGAGGAAAAAAAAAAAAAAAACAGTACAAGTTTCTTTCACTATCAACTTTGTAGAAGGAAAGGAAGTAGAAAAACCCAGTGTGGCATACAGGGAGCAAGTAATTATCCCTTTCTTTGCCAGTAAGCTCTAATTCAGAGCCATTTCTGCAAACTTGTCTTCATTTTTACTTGTCTACATGGACAGCCCCACCCAAAACTCCCATCCTTCTAGCCATACTCAGCCTAGGCAAACGCTTGAGCTTAGAATGACAACTGCTGTTTTCGGTTTTCTAATGCCATGCCAAAGGCACAAACTGCCTTCAGTTCTACCCCGAGAACAGATGCAACCACTTCAGTGCCTCGCTTTACTCAGCAGGCTCGCAGAGGGGGCTGGATGCTGAAGGTGTGTGCTGAGCACGAGACGAACCCTGGGTGTCCCCCCCAGTGCCACTGCACCCACACACATCGCTGCTCCTGCCGAGCTCGCCAAACACTGCAGGAACCCGGGGCACACCATAGTCCTGCCCAAGGACAGCCCGCAAGCCAGGGCATCCCAAACATCACTTTCGCAGCAAATCTCTACTTCCACTCCCATTAATCTTTGCTCTACCAAGTAATTATGCTGATTGGGGCATTACACAATCAGACGCTCATCCTAATTCTAGGTAGCACTTACCCTCTGTAAATCAGGGGGGTGATGGTTGCAGTTGCATTTGGGTAAGACAGAGAAATGTAAGGGGGATGGAAACCAAGCACCGTGTGGTTTTAGCTGTTTCAGGTCTTGTGGCAGAGAACTGCTTTACCTTCCTAGTGTTAACACGTACGGCATCCAGACTCAGCTTCTGCACCAAAGGCAGCATTGCACCCTGCAGATGCAATTAACCTGATGGAAGCAACCCTGGCAAATACAGCCCGGTGGTGGCCAAAGGCATCGCCTGAAGACAGAAGGACCTACTTGAAACTGGCTCAGCAAATGAGCAGCAGATCTGCAGGATGAGGGCTGGATTTTCCCTCTGCAGCTCTGTGCTTTCCTGGTTAGAGTCACTGGTTTGGTTTTGGGGGGCTGAAAGGACACGTGCCATCGTGGCACAGCTCTCCCATGGAGCTGTCCAACTAAAAGCAAGGGGGCCAGCAGCCCCACACCCGCCGGGTTTGGCTCTGCAGGTGCATATTTATATTTTAGCTGATTTAAATCATCCTTTGGAGGAGCACATCAGAGCTGAAATGATTAAAGACTGCAGTTAAAGACCACATTTGCTATGCTGAGCATGGCTGTACCAGAGGACACGAAAGTGCACTTCCTTTTCATTAGCGTGATGGCTGGCTTAATGTATAACCCTACATTACCTGTAGTAGCTGCTAAATCCCATTTTTTCCATACAGATCAGGTCTGTGCCTACCCTGCTACCACCACAGCCTCTTTGATTGCTTAATCAGAAATCCAGAACAACTAGAACGTTCCTCATTTCATCCTTGATTTTTTTCTTTTTCTGTCTTCCTCACCCAGAGAAAGTATTACTGTTGAAAGACTTTTTTTTTTTCGCCAAAAAAAACTAGATAGATAGCAAACCATGGTGAAAAAATATATGTTTTAAAAAAAGGGGGGAGAGAGAGAAGAACACCTGACAACTGCAGTGCAGTGTTTGTCTTGACACCTTTGGGAATGTCTTGGGTATGCCAGACATGGATCATTTTACAGCCACCTGTTCTGAAGACAGGGACAAAGAGATACCAAAATACCTTTCAGAA